TCTCTCTCTCTCTCTCTCTCTCTCTCTCTCTCTCTCTCTCTCTCTCTGTAATTGGAATTTTCAGACGACTCAAGACCCCTGTCTGTCGGGACAACCATCCCGGAGGTGAAATATTTAACTCAATTTGGTTGGAATTTTCAGACGAGTCCAGACCCCCATTTGTAGGGACGAATCTCCTGGATATTTGTGACTCCGGTCATCCGGTAAATTAAATCCGGATGTCCATAATATGGGTCCCGTGGACATCTGCTGAGCCAGGCAACCAAGCCACGACAATGTGCATCAGCTGGCGTGCCGTCAAGATGATTCAGATCGGCATTTAGGACCAAAAAGGAAAGAGCTGTCTAGTATATACTATATCTACTATATGAGTCTATATTACTCCGCAACGTCTCTGTATCATGCACATCAACAGTATGTGCAGTATGTACTAACTAAGGCCAATACACACATACACGCACACACAAACAAACAAACACATTCTTGTCAGTGATTTGGACCAACAGTCTGCTTGGATTGGTGCGAGTAGAGTTTACCACTTTTCTCAGTGGTGATAGCTCTGTGCCAGGTGGTGATTCATTATCCATCAGTCAAATGCATCCTGGCCAGACTGTCGGGTTCAACCTCCTGATGAGTCAGAGACAGTCTGACGAAACAGTCTGGCACAATCAGGCTTTTTTCTTTTTTCTTTTAGCCCACATGACAGAACACACAAACAAACATGAACTCCTCCCAAGAATCTCTCTCTCTCTCTCTCTCTCTCTCTCTCTCTCTCTCTCTCTCTCTCTCTCTCTCTCTCTCTCTCTCTCTCTTTTAAATGCCAAAAAAAAGGTCACTTCTCAAAGGCTTGAACACTTCCGGGGTCCTCTCCCACACACACACACACACACACACACACACACACACACACACACAGAGGTGCATGCCATTTGGTGTCTGGCGCTATCTATCTATCTACCTATTAAACAATCCGACAATCTTACCCTATTCTTTTAAAACTTTTCGGCTGCAGGTGTGTTTCCTCAGCGCAACTCGCTTCGGCACATGTGCATTTGTTTCCGCCTCACACGCAGAGACGTACGATAAGCGAAATGGAGATCAATTTAGTTGCGCCTTTCAGGGCACAGCTGCCGCATCCTGGTGTCAGACCAGAAGTTAGCTTTTCATTTTCTTTTCTTTTTCACTGCTTTGCCACATCGATTGTTTGCCATGTTTTTGCGTGAAAACTTCCCTGCCCGACGGTTCCAAATGGGCATCCGCATCTTGTTGTTTTTGAGGAGTGTATGTTGAGAGTATGTGCATGTAGCTCTGTCCGCCGTTTATGGCGCAACGACCTCCCTCCAGTGTCACAGCACAGGGGACGTTTGTATCTTCTGCAATGACCCGCAGAGAATCAGTCTGAGATATCTGCTTGACGAACTGAATTGCTGAGATTCTCGTGACCTGTGTGAGTTTGCTGTGTCCGTGCATGTGTTTTTTAAAGTCCCCGTGCGATGATGGCTATGCGTTATAGTAACCGTGTGCTTGTTCTGGGTTTTCTGTGTTCATGGGAGGGGCAAAACTGAAATTGGGACGGGACAGACTACAGTAGAACCTAGGGCAGACAGCGAGTAGTACCCGTCAATGAATATCCAGTAACTTGGGCAGGCCCAACAAAGATCCGGTTGGTCGGGCGTGCATGGCTGGAAAACTCTCTCTCTCTCTCTCTCTCTCTCTCTCTCTCTCTCTCTCTCTCTCTCTCTCTCTCTCTCTCTGTGTGTGTCTGTGTGTGTGACACACACACACACACGCGCCCAGGCAGGGCCACTTCAACAGTTTCATGTGTGCATGAACTGAGCAGCCTTCAAATGTGCAAAATGAGAAGGAGAGTATGGAGTAAGGGACTGTGAGATGCAACCCCATCCCGACTCCCCTCCCCCTCCTTCTCCCCCTCCTTCTCCCACTCCTCCTCCCGCTCCTCCTCCCGCTCCTCCTCCACCAAACAATGTGACCTGCTCCCACTCCTTCTCCTTCTCCTCCTCCCTCTCCTCCTCCCTCTCCTTCTCCCGCTCCCCCTCTTGCTGCTCCTCCCGCTGCTTCTCCTCCTTTCCCCCCCGTTCCTCCTCCCCCTCCTTCTCCCACTCCTCTTCCCGCGCCATAGCCCCGCTCCTTCTCCCACTCCTCCTCCCGCTCCTTCTCCTGCTCCTCCCAATCCTCCTCCTCCCCCTCCCGCTCCTCCTCCGCCAAACAACGTGACAAAGATCCCGCCATAGCCCCGCTCCCGCTCGTTCTCCTGCTGCTCCTGCCTCTCCTCCTCCCTCTCCTTCACCCGCTCTCCCTCCTGCTGCTTCTCCTTCTCCCGATGCTTCCCCTGCTCTTTCCCCCGCTCCTTCTCCCGCTCCTTCTCCCGCTCGTCCTCGTGCTCCTCCCGCTTCTCCTGGTCCACCTATATCTCCTCCCCCTCCTCAGCCTTCCGCGCATTCGTTAACCCCCTCCCCGTTTCCCCTCCCGCTCCTCCTCCTGCTCCTACCGCCCCTCCTCCCATGCCTCCTCTGCCCCCTCCTGTTTTTCCTCGTGCTCCTTCTCCCGCTCCTAACCCCCTCCCCGTTTCCCCCGCCGCTCCTCCTTCTCCAGCTCCTCCTCCCGCGGCTCCTCCGCCCCTTCGCATTTCCCGTCCCGCTCCTTCTCCCGCACGGTCGCACCTGCTCCAGCTCCTCCTCCACTCCTCTTTTTCCTGCTCCTTTTCCCATCCCTCCTTTTGCTCCTCCCGCTCCTCGTCTCGCTCCTCATCCCGCTCCTCCTCCGCCAAACAACGTGACAAAGATCCCGCCATAGCCATCTCCTATGAAAAAAACAAAAGAAAAATGGCCCGCCACGTGGCTAGC